AAATTGCGTACACGTGTCAAGTAAGGCTTTGCATTGCATCAAAGTCAGGCCCATACCTGTCCATACCCTGGTACGCAGGCGAATCCCCTTAAGTTTCAAAGAGAAGAAAAAAAATGCTTTTTGAACCCCCTGTCCCCTTGTCATGGACCCGCTCTTAAATGAATCCACCCGAACAAGGGCTCGCTACGCGGGCGCCTCTAAAACGAAGATTTCTATATTGAGATGTTTGAATTCGCGCTGTACTCTCCTGGAGGTTTCGTGTGGAAAAATCCTGATCTCACGAAATGGACCTTCCCAACAGCATCCTGGAAAACGTAGCTAAATATGACGCCACAGATTCTGTACAATCGCAACAGATGAATTCATGTCCATTAATAAACGTTCAGATATATTTCATAGATATATGATAACATTGAAAACAGTAATTTGAGACATTGACGATCTGATATGATCAGGTGTGTTACAGATCGTCTGATGCTTTTGCAATGTTTTCTACGATGCATTGTACACAGGCATTGGAGTCGGGTTTCTGTGAGCAGACGACACAGTTTCGTCATTTGGGAGACGTAATAAAAACAGATTCTCTATTTCGTTCGATTAAAAGATAAAATTTGTTTACCTGTTCAACACCGGTGTATCTTTATAATACACACTTCGTAAATCTACATTATTAAAAAATTATTATTTAAAAGTGATATTCGGCCATCAAGTGTTCACGTCATACAGATATTTTGTAAACACAGTGTCATGTCATACAGATATATGGTCAACACACTGTCTCATGTAGTACAGATATATGATCAACACACTGTCTCATGTAATACAAATATATGATCAACACACTGTCTAATGTAATACAGATATCTGGTTACAACATTGTTTCATGTCAAACAGGTATCTGGTCAACACATTGTCTCATGTCAAACAGATATCTGTTTAACACACTGTCTCATGTCATAAAGATATCTGGTAAACACACTGTCTCATGTCAAACAGATATCTGGTCAACACATTGTCTCATGTCAAACAGATATCTGGTTAACACACTGTCTCATGTTATACAGATATCTGGTAAACACACTGTCTCATGTCATACAGATAACTGGTAAACACACTGTCTCATGTCATACAGATATCTGGTTAACACACTGTCTCATGTCGTAAAGATATCTGGTAAACACACTGTCTCATGTCAAACAGATATCTGGTAAACACACTGTCTCATGTCATACAGATATCTTGACAACACACTGTAGCATGTCATACAGATACCTGGTTAACACACTGCCTCATGTCATAGAGATATCTGGTAAACACAATGTCTCGTGTCATACAGATATCCTGTCAACCATACAGATATCTGTATGAGATGAGACAGTGTGTTAATCAGATATCTGTATGAGATGAGACAGTGTGTTAACCAGGTATCTGTATGACATGTGACATTGTGTTTACCAGATGTCTTTATGACATGAGACAGTGCGTTAACCAGATATCTTTATGACATGAAACAGTATGTTAACCAGATATCGGTATGACATGAGACAGGGTGTTTACCAGATATCTGGTTAACACACTGTCTCATGCCATACAGATATCTAGTAAACACAATGTCTCATGTCATACAGATATCTGGTAAACACACTGTCTCATGTCATAGAGATATCTGGTTAACACACTGTCTCATGTCATACAGATATCTGGTTAACACACTGTCTCATGTCATACAGATATCTGGTTAACACACTGTCTCATGTCGTAAAGATATCTGGTAAACACAATGTCTCATGTCATACAGATATCTGATTAACACACTGTCTCATGTAATACAGATATCTGGTTAACACACTGTCTCATGTCATACAGATATCTGGTTAACATACTGTCTCATGTCGTAAAGATATCTGGTTAACACACTGTCTCATGTCATACAGATATCTGGTAAACACACTGTCTCATGTCATACAGATATCTGGTAAACACAATGTCTCATGTCATACAGATATCTGGTTAACACACTGTCTCATGTCGTAAATATATCTGGTAAACACAATGTCTCATGTCATACAGATATCTGGTTAACACACTGTCTCATGTCGTAAAAATATCTGTTCAGCACACTGTCTCATGTCATACAGATATCTGGTAAACACACTGTCTCATGTCATACAGATATCTGGTAAACACAATGTCTCATGTCATACAGATATCTGGTTAACACACTGTCTCATGTAAAACAGATATCTGGTTAACACACTGTCTCATGTCGTACAGATATCTGGTCAACACATTGTCTCATGTCAAACAGATATCTTGTAAACAAACTGTCTCATGTAATACAGATATCTGATCAACACACTGTCTCATGTCATACAGATATATGGTTAACAAACTGTCTCATGTCATATATATATCTGGTCAAAACACTGTCTCATGCCATACAGATATCTGGTTAACATATTGTCTCATGTCCTACAGATATTTGGTCAACACAATGTCTCATGTCATACAGATATCTGGTCAACACACTGTCTCATGTCATACAGATATCTGGTCAACACATTGTCTCATATCAAACATTTATCTTGTTAACACACTGTCTCATGTCGTAAAGATATCTGGTTAACACACTGTCTCATGTCGTACAGATATCTGGTCAACACACTGTCTCATGTAATACAGATATCTGGTTAACACACTGTCTCATGTAATACAGATATATGGTCAACACACTGTCTCATGTAATACAAATATCTGGTTAACACACTGTCTCATGTCATACAGATATCTGGTTAACACACTGTCTCATGTCAAACAGATATCTGGTCAACACACTTGCTCATGTCATACAGATATCTTGACAACACACTGTAGCATGTCATACAGATATCCTGTCAACATATTCTCTTAAACCAAATAGAAATCCAGTAAACACATTCTAACTTGTTATACAGATAATCTGTCAACTCTGTCTCATGTGTAGTACTGATTTCTCCCTTTGACCGTTTTTTTTCATTGATAGCCTTTATCCTTTTTGACTGTGCAAAATATACTCTGTCTTTATTTTATGATGTGCTATTCTGGATGCTGTTGCCTTATGCATAGCTAATTCTTCACACAAATTGTCTAAATGCTCGTTTTGAAAAATATCTGAAAAATTTCAAAAACCATTTTTTTGTATTTCTAGGTGTATGAAAAGTAATTTTAGATCACTATTCATGCAGGTTTAATTATAAATTTCAAAATTGTTGAAAATATATAAGATGAAGGATTAGCTTCACTGAATAGGCTTTGAACAAATGTGCCCTAATATCATGTTGACATTTGACCCGGTGTCATCAAGATATCCAATGTCACTTTGATATTTTCATTCAGATATCCAGTATACAAATGACATTGTGTCATTAAAATATGATCCTTTTTCATGCAGACATCAAATCTACATTTCCCCAGGTATTGTCTGTGCGATGTTTATAATAGATATCCCACTTACTCCAGTACTTGGTCCTTGCGTTATGCAGCCTTATTCTGTCAGATATCCAGGGTACTACCATGTCCAATTCATTCAAAATGTCATGTAGGTAAAGTATAATTCATCAAATCAGGTGAAAAACTGCAAAACCTTGTTATACTGCCACCATTTGCCTAGTAACATTTTGCCATCATAAAGGGATTTGGCTCCATACTGAGGAATTCATATGTATAAAATAATTGTGATCACGAAAGGAAAAGAAGACGTTGAAAAATTATGGCAGTAAAATGGCAAATGAAATAGGAGGATTATAACAAGGTTTACCTATTTATTAACTCATTCACTCTTGAAATTTCATAATGATCTATTCCAACCTTTGGAATTGGTAGAGTTCAAACGTGTCTGTAGGGGTGAATGAGTCAACATGTTAACTCTAGATATGATTGGCACCAGGGCTATCTCTAATACAACATGTCCAGCGAAATCAACAACAAAGTCAAATACATTTCATTTTATGGTTTTATTACTCAGTATTTTGTTTATTTCCTATAAGTTAAATATAACTTGTATTTGTACATTACTTATAGTGGAACAAAAGCCTAAAAAGGCCTCCAGCTAAGTTACATGGTATTTTGATTACAGCTGTAAGTTTTGTTCTCTATCATTACATATGTTTTACACACAAAACTATCTCATTCCTGCCGCCCCTAAGTTTACATATTAGACTCTGCTCTCATTCATTAAGAAGAGTCTAATATGCCCTAAGTGGTTGGGCAGGTTGATTACCCTGAATTGTCATGTCACTGGTCCCAGTTTGTTATAAACTGTACAACCCTAATAAATCAAATGAACTATCCCATATATTTGATGGAGAAATGTTCATATGTCAATTAGGGATGGAAAAGTTAAATATTGCAAGTGTAGAAGCAATGAGAACTTAATGATTTATTGAATGATATGATTTGAACACTGCCTACAAATATGTTCGGTCTCGCTTGCTGCAAAAAGGCAGATATTTATTGATTAAGTTCACGAAAATGTCTTGGTTCAATGAAATAATGGGGAAAAAATCATTTTCAAAGTTAGAAAAAATGTTCTGCTTAAGAATAAAACAAACAAATAGTAAAAATCATTTTGTGAGTTCCCAGAACTGAGAAACAATGCTATCAGGTGCCAGTAACATTTTGTGACCAGTTAACAATGTGCTCAAAAAGAAAGAAAAAGAAACATTTAAAAAAGTTATGAAAAATAATCAATTCTTGTGAATGTTCAACATGTGAGAGGACAAAAATAAATAAAAATGGATTTCAACTTGAAAGTGTTCAATTTTATAAGTGCACAATGGGACTTTAGCCATTAATCCATAGAAATAACAATAGTTTAGTCTGTATATTGATCAGGACAAATCAAATGCTAGATATAGGGGTGATGAAGTCAATGCTGAAAAATGTCAAATTGCCAGGATTTTTTTGTGTGTGCATTAATGAATGATATGATTGGGCCTGAAAGCCTAAGTGGTTTCATTACGTTTAATCACAGTTGGTGTCGGTATTTGTGATTTGTGGGTATTTATTATTGTACTCATAACACAACCCACCTATAATATCCTTTACATTTCTCTCCGGATGTATTGTCATAAATAAAAGTCTAAATTGCACAAACTGACAAAATCCTTGTATGGCACACCAGTCAATTTCACAAAAAACGATTCTGCCGAAAAAAGTCGGCAACTTTCACAATGAATGTTATCAAGCGATTGTCAGACTCGGACAAAAGCTTCTGTATCGGAAAACGCAATCATCACTTATCAAACACCAATAGGAGTTAACATGGTGAATACAGAACACAACCAGAAGTTCTTTTCAATTTCCATTTTTACCTGTTAACATGGTCATAAGAGAAATGATGTAAATCATTGTTAAAGAGGTTTGTACAAGTGTATGGTTCAGCGTGATTGTCAGACTCCCATTCAGCCACTAATGGTGTCACCACAGTTAAAAACAATTACCGATAAAAGGTTTTCACTAATTCCCGTTTCCAATATTGGAAAAGTGTATTTCATACGCGACATTAGGGAGTTTACCTGGGAATCTTATACACATCAGGGACCGAAAGTGGTCTGAAATTTGACCCAGATTACATTTCACTCTTTTGAAATAACGACGCTTTCTGTGGGATTGTGACCGACAATTTACAACGATGCTGATTAATGAAGCACGGATTTGAGTAAATATTATAAAGTTATTGCAAATGTATCTGTCTGAGTTCAGAGTATCTGAACAATTACCGCCTTTCTTGTCTCTACATTTAGATTGTCATCATAATGCACTCGGAATAAAAGTGCTTTTCTTTGTACCCAAGTGAGGCGGAATTGCTGGGTACGACCACATCGCCCAGGTAGAGTTACCGCCGTATATAAACATGACCTGTGATGTGGTATTGATCCACCATTACAAAAATCACTGATACTCGTGACGATAGCTCCGATTCTGAGGCTGACAGACCCAACAACACTTAAACCTGAATGTTTTATCAGAATGAAATATGAAAAAATCCCACAAGCTCTGGATTCAGATTCATTACACATGAAAATTAAAATCTAGATACTTAACAAAAAATTAAAAAAATTATGAGGTTTATTTTCAAATTTGAAATTAAAACGTTCATTATACAAATGAGTATTTTGAAAGATTGTTTACTTTTCATTGCATTGTAAAGAAGTAAGTTTAAAAACTAAATATAACCATGATAGTTTAGATGACAAGTTGTACTGATTACCTCTATACCAATTAATTACCTTTCATCATTTATCATATTCTTAACGATGAACAACTTGACTTCCTCATGTACCAATCGCCGGCATACAAAACCTATATTCCATGCATGAAGATAAATGATTTCTAAAGCTACGAGGATGCTGGCAATGAGGCATTCTCATTGGTTTAACCAGGACCAAACTGTTAGACTAGATACAATCTCAAGTGACTACCTGGGTATATATATATGTAATTTATAAATGCTTTTAACTTATATCATCAACATTTTGAAATTAAATATTTCAAAAAAGATGAATTCAATCAGAACCCATTTTCGTGTTAAGCTATGAGAGCTCTACAATAAGATGAACATCGTAGGTTCTTTCTCGTATCTTAAACAAGAAATCCCTTCAATAGGAATAATGTCAGAAACATCTGTTTCAGCTGCAAGTACATCAGTAGGCCTATTTCTCTACCACTAACACTTTGTGTGTACAAATTTTGTAATTTCCTATGAGATTAGCTGACGATACAAATTTAACAAAAATACTAGAGTAATGCGGACGGATATTTGATCTTTGACTATTATCCTTTATAGCAAATAATTTTTCATACATTTGCACTCCTTGGACAGAATAATGGCATAAACCATTTTATTTTACCAGACATAAATTAATTTTTGTAAAGTCAGATTTGATTAATTGCTATCTTGACAATTAAAAATGTCTTTAAAGTTGCAATAAAACTTGCTATAAAGGAAAATATACAATTTAAATAGACTGTATCCTTACTGTAGGAGAGTATACATAAACACTGGTTATGCTGCTATTTCACATTAAATACTAAAACAATCAATGATTAAGAAACACACAACTTTGATTTGATCAAACGTGTTAGCTATGGCACTGCAAAAAGGAAAACTGTTAAACAATTCAACTTAAATACATCAGTACAAAAAAAAATGTACTTGATAAAAAATGAAACCATCGCTATAACACTCATTTACAGTATGAAATTCTCACTAACCTTATGTTAAAGTTCGGTCCCCAAGAAAATAAATTAATAATAACATTGAAACATACTGTGAAAAATCGGTAACTTTTTTCTATTATACACAATACTTTTAATATGTATTACAAAATGATATTTGATTAAGAAAAAGGGAAAATGAGAGGAAGAAATGCAAGATGATTGAAATGCAATAAAATTATTGATAGAAAAATAAACAAATAAAGATCAAACATTAAAAACTGAAAAAGAAAAATTTATCAGGAACAATCTTCATTTTTGATTCGGAAGTAAATGCATACTGGTATAGTGAGAGCATAGTAAGGACAAAGTCTGTCCTCATAGTGAAGTACCAGCTCAATTAAAAACAGATTTACAGAAACAGAAACAATACAGTGTAACGCAAAAAACGGTCACGGAAAAGCTCTGTTTAAACCACAAAGTGAGATACAACGATTGGTACATACTGAAACAGGATATCTAAACAAAACACTGAATACATAATTTGGCAAATTTATCATTGAATAAATGATTAATTAAATAAATATCATATTTAAATATCATACATATCTCACTAACATCCGATACAAATCTCTTTCGCGTAAACTCTTGACACAACAGTTAACACATCAATCACACATTAACAATGACTGTTCCTCAGTAGCTGTTTCAATAGGATTGGGACTTTCAAAATTTGATCGTCTTTTTTCTATAAATATCTGACAAAACAAAAACGAACATTGATGATAATAACAAATAAACATTGCGGACTGGTTTTATGATTGTGCTGTGATGGCTTCAATACTGTGCGAAACCCGTGGGGGGCTAAGTGTAACCCCTGTGGGACTTATCAAGCCCCGCGGGCTGGGACTGTCTGATTTAGGTGGTGATGAGGCATTATAGTCTAATGATTTCACATACGATCTGGGCATGTCTTGGTCGGCGTCAATGTCCGAGTTCTGCGGGGAGAAAGTTTCCTTCATTTGTAACATTTCTTCTTCCTCCTCCCTCATCATCATTTCCTCCTCGTCTTCCTCGCTGCCCACCATGCTACTGCTAACGCTGTGGAGGCGACGATACATGTCTACCGTCATGTCCCCCTGCATGCTTTTTTGCATGTCCATATCACTGTTATCATTGATATCACCGCTCGCACTCAATTGTTCAATGTCATGGTATTCCATGTTATCACGAGACATATTTTCCCCATTCAGTTCCTGTCGATCCTGATCCAATGCGCCCTGGTGTGTATTTTCGAGAAGGGCGTTGTAGTCAAGGTTGATGCCTGGAGGAATACAGTTGCCCGTCTTCCAGTGTGTTTTTAATCCGCTGGCACTGATGTACTTCCTGTTGCACTGAGGACACTCGTAGGGCCGCTCATTTGTGTGCAGCCTTTTGTGAAGCTTAAGGTGCACAAACTGTGTGAATTTGGCTGGACAAAGTTTACAGTGAAATGGCTTCTCCCCGCTGTGGAGCCGCATGTGGGTCTTGAGGTTGCTAGTGGAACTGAACCGCTTGCCGCAGACCTGGCATTCATGTGGCTTCTCGCCAGTGTGAACAAGGTGGTGCTTCTGTAAGTGAGCGAGCTGTGTGAACCCTTTGCCACAGGTCTGGCACACAAATGGCCGCTCCCCTGTGTGTGTACGTAAATGCACTTTGAGGTTTGACAACTGTCCAAAAGTCTTGTAACATACATTACACTCATAGTGCATCTTTCCGTCCCGTTTCCTCAGTGGGTATGGCAGTGATCTATGACCTCTGGCACCCGTGCCATCATTCTTTGGCTTGGTGAGGTTGAGGACTTGATCAGGATGAGGAGGTGCTTGTGTAGGATGGGGGAACGGTGGCGACATCTGTTGCTGATTTCCCATTGGGTGGAATTGAGGTGGATACATCTGCCAAGCTAGACTTTGGTACGGGTTGAATGGATACATGGAGTTCATGGGGTTCATGGGGCTCATTGGGTACATGCCCGGAAGTGTCGGGGTCGGGAAGTACAGAGGTGGTCCCGAATTCGGTCCCAACTTGCTCATGTTCCCTGACATCAGTTTTGAGTATTGGTCATCTGGTCGGTTCATGAATGGAGACATTGGAGATTTGTCCATTATTGGACTTGGAGGAAAGAATTTTGAGTAGAAGAATGGATTAAAAGGACTGAACTGGTCTGAAGCTGGCCGATCCTTGGACAAATCCTCCGATTTAGGTTTCTGTTCATGAGTAAGATGTGCTGAATGAGCATGATGAGCTGGGTGAGCTGGATGAATAGAATGAGCTGGGTGAGCAGGAAGGGGAGGTAACACAGGAGGTTTGATGTCCATTGGAGGTTTAAAGTCAAAAGCTAACGAATTTCCTTTGAGAATTTTATCAGTTATTTCTTCACCATTTTCCTTCATTTTCTTCAGAAGCAGATTCTCGATAATTCCTGAACTCTTTTTAGGCGTACTGTGAGCCATTTTGATTGCACCAAGATGTAGGTCGTGAGAGCTCGGAGGCATTTGTAGAGACAACGGTTCCAGTGGATGACTAGGCTCCTTAAGAGGCTCACGTTTGGGAACCTTGAGTGGCGAATGTAGGGAACCCGCAGACAGCGACAGGTTGAGCGACAGGTTGTTGCTATGGCCCGACTTGTTTCTGTCACTACGGTACACATCTTGGTCATCGCTTGTGGGGCTGCCATCCCGCTTGTGGATGCTGTAGTCGATGGCGTAGCCATCCTCCCGAATACATTCCCCACTGTCACAGCTGTCATCCTTCAGGGGTTCCTCCTCATGTGGAGGTGTCTTTGTGCGAGAGGGACTTGTGTCCTCCTTAAACATACTGCCCGGGTTGGGCGGGCAGATTGGAAGGAAGCTCTTTGGGAATGGTAGATGACGTTCCAGCATTTGTCTTCCTGTAACGATACAATACAATGTTACATTAGTAAAGCTGTTAATTCAAGTCAGATTTTTTATCTTACTTTTTATCTTGTTTTAAAACAAAAAAACATTCACTTTGTCAAATTGTCTCAGTAGATATTCTAACTTAGTCTGACATACATCTACTAATCAAATTACTGTATACCGGCAATTTTTGTCACTTTCTTGATTCAATATCAACAGGGGTGTGATCAGGTCTTTTACTGTAACACATCATATACCCTACTATGATCCTAAAACTGTGAATTTAATGTAGCCCAAATGTTTCCAAGCAAATGAGAAAATAGCTCTGCATGAAACCAAGTCTTTAAACTGTATCACAAACACACGTCTCTTCGTCTAGCTAGGGGAAAGCTGTAAATACCTTGATATAGACACAATATAACTTTGATGAATGAAATAATTGCCTTGCAGAAGGAGACACCAGAAGTTGAAGATTATGCAGAACAAATTAATTCAAGGATCTCCTTTATCAGTTGGTAAGGATCCTACTACTCGGATTACAACTGCTGAATATTTGAATATTCTTTTATAAATTAGAAAGGCAGTAAACTATAGATGTTGTTAACTGTTTTCACAGAGCACAAATTATATTCAAACTTTAAAAAATTAACTTCGGAGAAAAGACTATGAACAGTAATATAATGTAGACAAAACCGGACACAGTTTGAAAACACAATAGTTCCTATCTAGTCTCAATTAATTTATCTATCATAGTAGAATAATTAAATTCATTTATAAAAGTCTGGTTTTCGATTCCAAAAGATAACTTTGTTTGAATGAAATGCTTTGATTAGCATATTTAAATTGAAACAAATTAAGTGAACCTATAAAGACACTATTATTCAATGATAAAGTTAAAACTTGTTAATTAGAAAGCTCGAAATTTATTTCAAAATTTCAATTTAGAAGAGTTTTTATGTAAAATTATTGTGATCATTGCAATGACAATAAATCAATGGATCGGAAACGAAACAATTTAATGGCTGGACATCCGACCTCGGGAATGGCTACATTCGCATGGGCTTATTTCCATAACACAAGGATTCAAAAATACAGACATAAGTTAAACTTATCATAAAACTGTCATTCAATTTAAATCTAACTTATGCTGACTCCTAAAGAGTGGAACAGTCCACAGGAGGGCTAAATGTTAATTTCATCTATAAAATTTGTATATGCAGACAATGAGAAAAATTCGCCTGGCAAATCCCTCCACAAAACTTTGAAAGAGATGTCTGAAATAGTCACTTGGGGTTGTAATTTCAACTTTGTTTATGGCGTGGGACGTTCCACGACAGGCGCGGTACCAGTCTCCTTAATATACTCCCATATTAGCATTTAAAAAAGTTGCATGCAAATTAATGGGAGTTTTATTGACTTAATACACCCAGCAGCCATCTGGATTAGGGTTTTGTTCTCTGCGCCCGTGCCATTGACCAGTTTCGATTTCCACTGGTCACAAGACAATAGGCGTGTGCCCGTCGATCATTAAATTACTACTCACAACAAATCGTACACGAAACGGCCATCCGTCGTCACAAGTAATACCCAGTGTTTTTTAAAACCATTATTCTGAAGATGTTTTATTCTACCCTGGAGCGAAAGTTCTGTGTGCTATTCATGAAAATCTAGATAGCACATGCTACAGCCTTAGACAGGGCAAATTCTATTGGGTACCTTTTAACATAAGTGGCTGATAAAAAGTAAATTCAATTATTGAAAATGTTCATGTTTATAAACTAAAAGTATACAATCGCTTTGGTGGAAATGTAACACCATATAATGTTAGAATTTTTACTGTGGACGTCACCTTAAATTATCACTGTAGATTAAAAGGGCTACTGACAGTGTCTGAACAACCTGAGTCTTCTCGCCAACCGACACAAGCTGGCGATACAATTGAATAACTTGAATTTACTTTTAAAACGTTTATTTTCAAAGGGTATATCAGCTTACTCGCCCTATCAACCGGGCTATCAGACACGCAGGCTGTTTAAAATAGCACAAGTATGTATTTTCAGATTTAATAAAAGACAGAACAATTTAATCTTTTTCTAATTTTTTGTGTATAAATATTAACTTTTTCACTTCATTTTTGCAGATAAACATATAATTGATAGGTAATTCTGTTAACTATCAATTTATATCAATGTCACTGTGTCTTAAAAACCTACACTAAATATATCCCTGGAAAGACTACCAAACTTGATACAAAGAGATACAACACTAAATTGGACAAGCCATTGTTACCTAGTATTTTTGGTCATATTGTATAAACGATTGTTAGAAAAAAAAATCTTAAGTATTTTGTATTACACTTCATATACAAGTAACTTAACAACTGGTTAAAAATAATTCCAAAACGGCAACAGTCTATGAAAATTCCTTGGAAAAAATATGAAAACAGTATTAGCAAATAATGAAAAAATTACCTCTATGATTCTAAAACTGAAATGTGTTTCCCTTTATTTTATCACCTCCTTGATTAATTGATGAACTTAATGAGTTAAGAACCAGTGATAATCAAGGACTCTCCTTGGATGATGCTACTGCAGAGGAAGACATGACCGGAGGAGATACAGTATCGAGACTCAGGTGCACCAAAGGATAGCCACAGCTCTCAAAGGAATTTCTCCTCAGTTAGTTTATCAAAGATGGCCAACTCTTCCTCATTTAAAACACCAGTGACATTTATAGCAGTAATTACTTGGATGATCTTTCAAAAATTTACTTTATTAACCAAAATTGGATATAAGATTAGGAAAAACTCTCTTTGATGAAAAGAAGTAAAAATGGGAATATTTCCATTTTGGTTGCTGCGGTGGCTGGAGGCCTTCATGGCGGCTGTATAATTCACCGACATCACTTTGAAGTTGTTTAAAGGATCATATAGATCGTACAGTATCATCTCAATTTCAAATTAAGTCACAAGCTATGCTTACAGGCATACTTCACTAATCAATTGTTATTTATGTACGACGCTAAAAATATATCTGGTGAGCTTCTGGATTCAGATTTCAAACAATCAACTTTTAATCTTCGATAATGTCTCTTTTCTTGGTTTATCAAATATGTTTTACAAAAGTATAAGAAAAACATATTGCCTGTTATTACAGAAAGCCCAGAAATCCGAAATTTTCAAATTAACAGCAAAATGACAACCTGCTTTTAAAAGTAATTACACTATGTAGTTTTATGTTCATAGACATTACTCAATGTGACAACAGTGTTATGATTTACTATGAGCTGTCCATCTTTTTGTGAACGTTTATTGTCCATCATCATACTCTTAAATCCGTCAATTAAAAACATTGTCAAACGGAGGTGTATGAGGGTTCAGATCAGCAAATCATAATCCTTTTGAAAATTTTAAAAGAAAACCTAATGAACAAATGTAAAGACACTTCTGTTAACCCTAAAGTAACACTTGAACCTTATCTAATCAAAGACTTGGCAGTTCCATTAAAGACATGTAGGCATGAGTGTGTTAAAAAAAATATGTGAGAAACGTGAAACTTACGCCATGATTGAAGCATCTCCTCCCCTGTGATTGGGCAGTTGATGCGGTCAGCATACTCGCGGCAGTACCACACCATTAGCTCGGTGTTAGGAGGGATCGGCTTGATGGTGTAAAAGTAGATGTTGAAGTCGATTTGACAAGCGATCAGATTCTGCTGGACAGACGAATACGCAAAGTTGATGTAATGCATCCAGCTGCTCTTAGTCACATCGCTGTTGTCGATATACTGGTACACAGTGTTGTTACTAAAGATCTGTAAATACACAAACATTCACACGTAATTAAATAATTAGCATTGATCAAGGTAGGTATTAAGATTGAACAGGTGTGCTTACCGGATAAAATCAGAGAAAGTTTAACATCAGATCAATCACAAGTAAACATTATATAACATCAAAAGTAAACACATCTAATGATATTTAAAAAAACACACCATTAAGTTCCGTAATGACACCCTCTTTTCATCACCGTAATAAACTCCGTAAGAAACAAAGAAAACCTCCGAACACTATACGATATATTTTTTCCCAGATTATATATGATATTTTTTGTGGAAATTTATGAAAGGAGGCTGAGATTCAGATAATGTTTTTATGTATCATTGCTGTGTTACTATTTCTATCTCATCTCCCGGTCTGTTGGTAATCTACACCTCTGCTATCTTGTAGTACAGCGTAAAAACTTGTTTACCGAGTAGTGAAACGTCCTCCCGTAAAAGTTAATACTTTCGCCCCATTAAAAGTTAATATCCTATCTACATGGACTAGAAAATGAAAGGAATTATCACAATTTTTCTAACTGTATTATGACAGATTAGGCTCTTCCTCTGAGAATCTGAGATCCTTTCGTTTCATTTTCGTAAAGAAAATCTCTTCAAGTTAAAATGTTTACGATTAAGTCTTTCTCTCTGCAGGACTGGTTTTAGCCCAGCACATCCCTAAGTCTTTTGGTGATCTGTCGTGGGAGGAACATCCTGTAGTTATGATGGTTACAGAATCTCGTTATAAATCAACCCTTACTAACCAAATAGCTCATCTTCTGTATGTAGGTAAAACAACTGAAACATCATCTAATACACTCGTGTGAACTTGATGTCAGATACAGTAATACATCAAATCATTATCACAATAAGCTTGTTTTTTTTGTATTTCGCGTAAAAAAATAATCCTCCTGTTTTTTGTCCAGATGAACTATTAAGTTGAAAATATCCATTTATCAAAATATCATCCCAAAATATCGCAATAAATTTTTGTATATTAAAAAGCTGACATTTTCCTTTTACTTATCAAATAAAGTGATATAAGCAAGGCATACAGAAACACGGAGAAAGATCATCGGAGCTCAAATCGAAATGTCAAAAATGATTATTTCAACCAAATCTACTGAAACGTTTATCTAGACCGGATAATTCTTACACCCAATGTTTCTGTAGCGGAGATAGGGCCCCCGAGCCTTCCTCATGACATGTGTCTATCTACAAGTATGTACGGGAAACAAAGTAGTTTATTACTGGGAAAAAAAGTCTCAAATTAACCTAACCGTCTTATCAAGGGTATCTGCTGAGATATGGGCAATACATCTTAGAAAATGGCAGAAAATGTGTGTTATACTGCGAACAGGAGTCTTCAACGATGACCTCCAAATCAGACCTCTTTTACAAAAATTACTTCAAGTGGGGTGAAACTTTTAAACAAATTTGTCATTAGAACTCATGAATGAAACGTACAGGCTACCTGTGGTGAATTTGCAGGAAGCGCACTCGGTATTAGATAATTCAGTTTAAATCAACAAATTTTTCTCATAAAACATTTTTTTCTTCTTCCCATTTACAGAGATAAGAAGACAGGGAATTGGATTTAGCCGACAGCTAGGCTGTTACCACACAGAACAAATCTACTCATTTCATTAAACATGTCATTCGCTTTTTGAAATACATTAATTGATGACGGTCTCGTAATGAATTACAAGGTATTAGTATTCATAGAAAAGGAAAATAAATTCAATTTTCATACCAGACTGTGTCTAGTAGATCATTTGAGTTAATTCATTGTGTTGAATGAAATCACATACTTTTCTTAATCTAATTCAATTGAAGGTTTTGATAGCATATACTATCACCTACATGTATTTATAGAAACAAAATTAATATAAATCTTTATCATTCTTATATTCCAGATTATGACAAAAATGTTAATTTATTTCTCTGAAAAGAATTTTAACAAAAAAAATTAATGAAATAAATTTTTACATTAACAGATAAGCTAAATCAGTTTAATTTTCTCTTTCTTTCCTGACCTTACTGAACATCAGTTAAGACTTTCAATGAAATATCAGCTCTTAGAATCATCACTGACTCAATTCTGTTCACTCGATCAGCCAATGCACATCTCAAAACAAAATTGATAACCTTAAATTCACTGGCGTCCCCTTCAGCTAATATATAATTCATAACATTGAGTAAATATCATTATAGGATAATGGCTACAATGATGAAAAATATTAGGTCTTTTCTGTCTTGTTTCTGACCCTATATATAAATGTCTGTGTAATTGATGAAATTATTTGGGATATATGAGAAAACCTGATATCATTACATCAGTCTACTCGGCTTTCCTTTTCTATTCAGCCTTCATAAATTAACAACCAATTACCAGCTCAGATAGCAGGCCTCCTAAATAAGAACATACACCATTTATTAAAGGGAAATAGCTTCCATAATTTCTCCCATTTCACTTTCTCTGTAAGACGTTTTCAGCCCCTTCCATGTCGGTAATAGAGTTAATGATATGTTACACGTGAGAAGTAGGTGATTCAAGGATTGTCCCCACCTTACTAACTCAACACCACCTCAGCTTTACATTTATAAATGTTCAAAATACATTCTTTTTGTTAAACATAAAAATGATTTTTTTGTGCTTTCTTTTTACTTCAGATGATTTTTATTTCAACCAATTCAGTTTAAATCTTATTTTATTAATTCAAGTGTTAGAATTTCAGAAATTTAACAAATGTAAATTCTATAGTAATGTGTGTGCAAAGCTTGTAAGGTCTGTGCAACTGTGTGCTAGTCTCAAGAGTATATACGATCCAGACTATATGATCCATACAACACTTTCTCCACCTGTGACCAATTAGCAATTTATTATGCAACCACCCAGAGCAAAATTACTCTTTCATAAATCAATAAATAGAAACCAAGCACAAACAGACATGTAAGTGGAAACCTTAATCGTTTATATCGTTTATATCTGAAGAAAAAAAATTAAGCATAAAAATAGGATCCTTCTGTTATATGACCGCCAGCTGTCTCTCCCTTTTAGATTTAACAATCAAAACTTGACAGAAGACACTGAAATATTGAATGCAATTGAAACCAACTTTCAAATTAGTAGAAAAAACTTTTTCTTCCAGCGAACACATTTCTATCCCAAGGCTGAGCTTAGATGGAATGTCGATGTTGTGAAAGAGAGTGTTTTGGTTGTAAAGAGGGTTTGGCCATCATAGAGTGTCATTGGAAACCCTTGTTAAGAGATCCTACAATCTTAATACCCCCATCATCTCGAAAAGACATAAAATAAAACAAATAAATAAAATTTTATAAGGGAAGAGGACTCTATATCAAATTTCAAAACATAGTTTAGGCTAGTAAATCAAAATTTCAACAATACTATAATTTTCAAAAGAAAATAATTCCAATAATAAAAATATCATTATAGAAAGTTTAAAACACCTACTGAAATTCTTAGGCCACAAGTTGAATATATTCAGTTGATAAATGTTTCATTTTATTCAAATTTCTTCCTGTGACAACATGAAAACAAAAAACACTATATTAAAATACCAAGGTACTTTATTAAATATTCTGCAGAAAATTTGTGTAGGAAAAAAAGTGGAAATTCTGCTTCCTACATTTTTGCATTTTTCACTCTAGTGACTTATTTAGGATTAAAGATTTGAATATTTTTTTTTAAAAATAAATGACTTACCTTCCATATGGAAACTCTATCCGATTCTTTTCTGAGGAACGGTTCCTTTGAATAAACGTCTCCGACTAAAGGTCCGAATCGTGTCCCACGTGGAATGTAATCAACGCTCCACACACCTAACGCCTGTGAATCAGAAAAACCGAGAGAAATTGTTAGGGAGTGATTAATTCAAGCCCAAAAATATCAAAAGAAAGTTGAGATGAGTTCATATCTGTTATCTCCTGGTAAACAAAATCGTCCTCCAAAGGTAGACCAACCTAAACATGGTATATAGCTCGGCTTGTAAGAAACGCATTTCCTTTTTGTTCAAAGATGGAGTAACATTGATCTGTAAGAAACCGTGGTACAGTTGATGGTTATCTACCCCGAAAACCACTGAAGTCAACTATTTTCCTGGGCAGATATGTGATTAGCAAATTAAAACCAATTAGCAGCCAACCACTGGAAGAGGATGAGCCATGCATCCCATAATGTCATGATATATTATGTCATAAACAACAAAACATTTAGGTCCCACACATCAATCAAAAGTGAAACTGCAATCATTACTCCGAAAAAAAAAGCCCTGGGATGTAAAATTAAACTTATTAATATCTTCAAGACTATTTTTTTATGAAAAGCCTTAAATGATCGTCAGTGAAATCTATAAAGAAAATCTAACAAAATAAAACACCTTGTATGAGTGAGGCTTGGACCGAGAGGGTCAGAGTTAACCAGTCGTGTTTAAACCTTCTCAATCAATGAAGCTGCCATCCGTATACTCCCCCTAAAAACCTCACAGACTAGATAAAAAAAGAGGATATTTTTTTGATGAAATGATGACTTATTTCCGAGTTGCATCTCCGAGTATGATGATTGGAGGATAAGGCCTCGTGCAGGACATATCCCCACCAGCATCTCCCCCACAGGGGGTTTGTAAAAAAGGAAATTCAAGATTAGAGTGAAAAAGTTGAGACTCCTCTATAACATTGATACTAGTTTCATTGGCAGAGTATTTCAGCTGTCAAGCAACACCCACAAGTGTTTACCTTCACGTTTTGAGAAAAAACACAGAGCCGCTTGATTTCTGTGTGATCTCCAGGGTATCTTTAAAGAAAGTACTGTGGGTTCCCCGGTGACCATGGCGATGGCTAGCCCCGCCAATCACTTCAACAGCTAATTATTCAAATTAACCTTCATGTTCGCCTCAGAATCATAGAAATCTAATAGAGCTTTTATAATTTTGAGATCTGTTTACTCAACTGCTTTGTGGATAATGATAAACAGAAACAGAGGCCTACCACCAGCTTTTAATCAAAGAGTGCAACAAGCTTCAATGACTTTACACTTGTACATGAAAAGCTGTTATATCTCCTCGCAAATTACACCTACCTGTACTTGATTTATCATCTCAAAAAGAATTTCAAGTGTGAAATAAGTTTAAAGGCGAAGAAAGTGAATGTTCAAAAGAATTCCGTGATTACAAATTGTAACTGTAGTGTAAGAAATATCAAATTGGATAATTTTATTTTTAAAAATAAATAAAACACATGAAAAAATCTGTTTATATATGAAATATTATAAGGTTAATTGAAGAGTTTTTCGGTAAGTGATATCAATAAGAAATCTAAAAATCTATGGTACGAGAAACAAACATGTCAATAGATACGTTTGATGGAAGCCAATCTATCAGTGATTCGCACCTGCATTACACACTCGGCACGAAGTACTTGAGACTTTAAATGTATTTCAGATGAATGTGATTAGGGGCCCCCACTTCCATGTGGAGAACTACATAAATAGGCATAGTCACAATTTTCACAACTTAGAGACTCAAACTTCAATATGTAATTCACACACTGAAATTCTATAGTCATTATTATACGTAACTTATTAGCAATGTCAAGTTTTTTCCCCGAAGGACTCTTTTCTTTCATGAAACGCCTGCTTTCAAAGAAGTGAAAGTTTGATAATTCAGAGACTCTCAATTCAAGTGCCATTGGTATCATTTTGGCAAATCTTGCTTTTTAGTTTCAATGGGTTCCATCAAAGACACTCTTATCAAAGTCTAGTTTCCGCTGCCTAGTGAGCAAGACATAAAGGAAAGCGCGGAGATCTTGCCCGATGTCACTTCAAGCAAGTTAAGGGAAATTGAAAAGGTGAAAAAAACAAGATTTCGTATTAACACCCAAAAACAGGTGGGTCAATCTCCGCAGAAAAGAGCCCATATATATTAATAGAGGAGTATAAAAACAAGACAGAAATCAAAATCTTTCTGATCGGAAGATGTCGTGAAAACATGAAAGTGTGCAGATGTTTCCGCGTTAAGATCTGACAAATGTGAAATTTGAAATTCTGCAGACTTTAATAATTCTTAAATTGGTCTGTTGATGTTTGCAGTGATTTATCATTTATGACTTATATGAAGTTTAAATCTTATCACTTCCCGTGGTGGGGGTCTGCGGATGACATCTTACGTGTAAATTCAGGTATCGTTAAAATCAAAATTATACTCAACATTACTTAAATGCTATCTTCAAAGATGTTTTTTGGCCTCTATCTACTACCTACAAGTTATTACATTTTCTGCAGGGCTTTTAACAAGCAAATTCATAAAACGGCATGAAGAATTCGAAAATTTTACAACCGGAAGCCAGCGTTAACATCAAGTTGATAAATCTATGTCAATAAATTAGTTAGATTTTTTAAAAGTAAGTGAACAAGTTGTGTAAATTCAAACTGATGTTTCTGAAATGTCTATAGCTATGGCAGCTTGGATTCCCAACGAAAAAAAATATATATATAAGTGAGGATGAAATAAACAAATTGTGAGAATCCGAAAATAGTGAGAGAAAAAAATCTGAGTACAAACCTATTATAAAGCATCCATTTTGAGATTTCCAAGACAACTGGTATCTAATCGAGATATTATCCGAACTTTTCTCACCAGAATCTGTTGCTAAAGTCAGACCTTCACGACTGACCAAGTAGTTTTGAGCTTGCATGGAAGCAAGCATGATAACTACTTACCAACAAAACCCGCTCTTATTAGCTTAACAGCAGTTAAATAGCGTCTAAATATCCCCAAAACTACCGGCTTCAAAAGGCCACGATAATCTCATTCACCTCCGTTTAAAAATAATCCCGACCTCTCGGCTTTGTATTCACTTTCTACAAGGATAAATCGTAGATAAACATCTCGCCATGGAGCCACTTCCCGTTTAGTTCATACTCCTTTCACTTACTATGCAAATTAGTACAAGCCATAATTAATATCACAAAAACCGAAGGAGAGAGGAACCAATGGAAAGCGTGATGAGGCCACTAATTCGAACGTCAGACTGATTAAAGTAATTTAAATCTTGAAATATTTCATCAATCTTTGTGGGGACCCATGATCATGAATTTGTCTAGCTGACAAGAAATATCTCTTTTGTGAAAGGGAAAAAAACTGTTTAAAGAGCTCAGATTTTTTTATTCTCATAATGATAGCCATGCTAAATGAAGACCAATTAACATGAGTTAGAGAAGGGAGGTGAAAGTAGAGGGCAAAATTAAGTTTTGAAGGTCAGAATTAACAGCTATCTTTAAAATCAGCATAATGGGCCGCTATCATGTAGAGTTAACTATTCCAATGACTTCAGAATTCATTTACTATTTATTTATTTGATTTTCCATTGGCCAAAACAGTAAATCGGTGAATTAGCACCAGACAATTTTAGACAGCTGAGGTTTAATTACGAACCCATCAGGAACATCACTTATATCTCTGTAACATCACACTCAGCCAATTTCTCATAACTGTAATTCTATTTTTCTTTTTGATGTGATAACATCGCTGATAATTTTCCTTCACCAGTTACACAAGGCCAACGGAAATGATTTTCACAAACAGCAGATAAAAATATGAAAACTTGATACACTTATAAACTGATCGTGTTTATAACTTGATGGCTTAATTATGAAAGAATTTTCTTTGATTAAAGACATTTTAAAATTTCTTTTCAAAATGCAACAATGAACAGATAATTTCACTAAAATTTTCAACTTTCCATTCTTTTCAAACCGATATAAATCATAGAGAAAGATTAAACCATTGACATACCATACCTTGAGAAAATGTATCACACACAGTAAGAATAATTTAAAGATTATTTTTTACCTGTAGTGAAAGATTTTAAATTTGAAGGTCAGTCAAAAATATAATAATTCAGGTCCTTTACCTTTCAGGTGACTTTGTGGTGTTTTGACTTGGGAACTTCGACTTCTTTTAACTTTTCTCTACAGGGTGTCCAACATTAATCTATCCTATATGTACCGCAGGTATAATGGTTCATCTTCCCTTCCCCACAAATCAGTTTATGTAATAGGGTTTTCTACTAACCCCACAAGTCATTTGGTATATCAAGTTCATACAAAATGGCTCCAAGTGGAGTGTACTTAACAACCGTATACCTGTTCTTCATACCTTTCCATTTTTTCAATACCTATTACTTTACAAAAGTTAAACACCTTTTTGATATTGTATTCTCCAGTCATTTTTTCAATGTGTTTTTATCTATGAAAAGCTAAAAGTTCTTCTTTTATACGAAGGTCCCCCCCCCCTATCATAGAGCCCTGTCACTTTTTGAAAATATGCGATCTATGGATACATTGAAGACTTAAAGGGGCCTTGTTTATTAGATGTGGATGTATGTCATGTCCCTGTGATAATGTTGTGTCTGTTGACAAGTCATCTCCCTGTATAAAAAGGCAGAGCCCATGTATTGTTTGCCGAGTGAAAGTGTTCCTTTTAGCAGAGGAGGTCCCTCATGTCGCCTTGATCAATAAAGCAAGCCAGCCCCTTTCACTGCAAAACAGACAGGGGGATCGCCACAAAACATGGCTGTCGCCAGGTTTTACCATAATTATAATGCTGCTTGTCAGGCTCAAGGCTTTCTGAGAGTTTCTAAACATATCAAATATTGAAATGGAAAATAGCTGTGTGTTTGTCAATGAGAGAAAATTACTACCTGAGAAGACTAGAAGCATTGGTCACTGTATGACTGTATAATATCCAATTCTATGCACACATACTTTTTCAAACGTCGTTCAATTTCTGCAATCTAATTTGATTGGTGTTATTAACTTTGAGAAATTTTCCT